ACATGCCCGGCCTCATACCAGACCCCCCCCCCCGCCAGCACTGGCTCGCGTTCAGCAGCTTTCCTGGTGGGTCAGCGCCATTACAAAGAACGCCGCGACAAGGGGCCACCGGGACCATGGGGCGCTCAGACTGCTGTGGGACGGGGCTCAAAGCAGCCCAAGGGGTCGCTAGCAATGACGTGTTCCGAATGGGGAAGCTGGGGCAATGGGAAAGGTGACGTCTCATTCGCTGTTCCAGGGCAAACTCTGGGGGAACCAGAAGACCTGGGTCCCTGGTGGAACCACTGACCACAAGGAACAGGACACATGGTAGGGAAGCACCAAGAGAGGGATGCGCCCAGCTCAGCAGGAGCCAGCGCACACATCTGGTACCCTCGTCGTAGACACTCAACCCGAGACTCAGTCTGACAGCTGCCTCCCCAGAGATCCCTCCAGTGCCTGGACCACAGCGGTCTCTGAGCTCCCTGGGCTCCATTGCCCACTAGTTGTGGCTGTGAGCTGAGACACATCTTCACACAAGAGAAAAATTAAAGGGAAACATGACACAGACGCTCGGACTTCCATTGCATTATGCCGCAGAGGAGGAAATCCAGCCAGCTGAGATAGCAGGGGAGATGGGAGCAGAGCCCCGACATACAAACCTCAGAACATAATCATGGCCAGACTGGTTCACACCAAAGGCCCATCCAGCCGAGGGTCCTGCCTGCCAGCAGTGGCCAGTGCCAGCTGCCCCAGAGGGAGTGACCAGAACAGGGAATCCTCACGTGATCCCTCCCGTCGCCCATTCCCAGCTTCTGACAAACAGAGGCCAGGGACACCATCCTGCCTAGGCTGGCTAACAGCCACTGAGGGACCTGTCCTCCATGAATTTATCGAGCTCTTTTTTGAACCCTGTTAAAGCCCTAGTCTTCACCATATCCTCTGGCGAGGAGTTCCACAGGTTGACACTGCACTGCATGAAGAGAAACTTCCTTTTTAAAAATCCTGCTACCTATTAATTTCATTTGGTGACTCCTAGTTCTTATGTTAGCAAGTGTTCGCCAGTGCAGTGGTTAGTGTGCTGGCTTGTGGTGTGAGCTGTATTGGTTCGAGTCCTGTCTGCCATGGGGGCAAAAGGGGGTTGAGTGCACTTGCTTGCCTGCAGTTAGGGCTGGCCATGAAAATCAAAGGGGCTGGAGCAGTGGGTGAGGAAGCAGGTGGCTACAGCAGGACTGGGTGTGACCCAGCGGTGTTTTGCAGGGAAGGAGAGTAATTTAGCTGGCGTGAGGATGATTCTTGGTTCACTGATTCCTAAGTACCGGAGCCCAAGGCTTAAGCGCAGATGCAGTCAGTGTTCTGCCAAGTTGCTCTGTTTTCTGTACTTACACGGGGCAGTATCCTGGATGGAGTCTGATGAGGCTGTGGAGGGATGTCTGGGTGTGGCGGCTTGAATCCCCAGCCTATGGCAGAGAGCTGGGTTCCATAAGTCTGTGTTATTTGTTTCATTAAAAAATAAGGCTTTGGCCTGCAAAGGTCCGCAGTATAATCATTTCCATGGAAACCAGCTCTGCAGTCCCAAACACAAGCGCAGGGTGACTGCAGATGGGCAACCAGCCATGGGAGCAGGCGAACCCAGAAGCCCAGGTCTGGTTCTTGGAAAGAAGAATGTTGTTGGAAGCCCAGATGAGTGTTGCAGAAATGGAGTTTAACCAGAGACTCGTGGGATTCTTTTGAGCAGCCTACGAAAGTTAATCATGGCCTAGAGAAACTGCCGCTGCTGCCCAGCAGGTTTATCGTGTTTTATAACAGTAAATGTAGCTTGGATGTACAGGAAGTCCCCGGGTTACGTACAAGATAGGGACTGTAGGTTTGTTCTTAAGTTGAATCTATATGTAAGTCGGAACTGGTACATATTGTAGGGGAAACTCTCTAGCCAAACATTTCTCCAGAGCTCAGTTTTATTCTCCCACACCTCACTTCCCTCAGTCCTTTATTCTCAAGCTGAGGTGTCTGCTGAGAAAAGCCGCTCCGCGTCTCCCTGGTCTGCTGGGGGGGGGGGGCGCTAGCTTCACGTCTCCCTAGTCTGCTGGGGGGGAAGCAGCTAGTGCGGGGTAGCCTCACCCCGTTTGTAAGTAGGGATCTGATGTAAGTCGGATCCATGTAACCCGGGGACTGCCTGTACTCACCTCAACTCATGGTAAATTCAGGACAAAGGCAATGTTTTTCAGGGCAGGGTCTGAGTTAGAATCAGTGTCAAGGTGGAATGTGCCACAGAGCAGCCAAATCTGGATTCAAACTTGTATTTAAAACAGATAGGATTGAATGAGCGTTCTTATTGATAATATGCCTAAATTGTCATCACCCCAGTTTTACAATTAACAGCAGCATACTTCATTAAGCAAATTGCTTAAATCAGTTACGAGCATAAGGGCTTGTCTCCATGGGTGGGTCTGGTTTCTAACGCACACTAACATGTTGAGTATGAATTGTTGCGTGTGCACGCAAGGTTCCTTCGTGCATGTAGGTATGTCAAACAGAACTGTCTGACTGTCGCGTCAGATGATGACATCACATGTTCTCATGTGGCTGTCCAAGCCAACCTATGGGGAGCAAGATCGCAAACAGATGTCACATCAGAATGTGCAGCCTCCCGCTGAGGACTTGGCCGGATGCTTGTGCCCCTTTAATTTTACCCATTTTTTTCACGTATGTTTTCCTCCCAGTGTTTACTACCTTTATTGAATGGAGAGCAACTAACAGGGCAGTTACTAGACTTTGTCATCAAAATGATCAACTCTTACACCAATTCAGCATTTTCACTGGCCACCTCTTCTGTGCTTTCCAAATTTCAGTTCACCCTAAAAAACTCTTCTGGGGAGTCTGTCCTTACCCAAACAGCACTACATTAAAGCAAACCAGCAGGGCCTACAAGGACCAATTACTGTGTAACACATGAGTATGTTTTAGAAAGCACACCCCAAATTGAGCACATGACTTCCCCAAGCCTCATTTGCAAAATTGAATTAGGCACTTAAGAGGCTAAGTCCCTTTGAATTTTAGTGAGATTTTGTTTCCCAAATCACTTTTGAAAGTGGGACTTAGGTGCTTTGTAACAATTTTACCCCTGAACCAAAATACAGGCTGAACTCTGACCCAGCACTCTCCGGTCCGGCAACATCTGTGGTCCAGCATGATTTTAGTTAGCCAGATGTCCACTTGCTATGGGTGGGACCAAGTTTCCCATAAAGTTACAGCCACCAGTGCTGGCTCTCAGTGCTCTGTGCTGTTCTTTAGCTCTAATTTACCTGAAATGTCTCAGTGAGCTGTGGAAGTATTTTTAATGGAGATTGCCTATCTCCTAGAACTGGAAGGGACCTTGAAAGGTCATTGAGTCCAGGCCCCTGCCTTCACAGCAGGACCAAGTACCATCCCTGACAAATTTTTGTCCCAAATCCCTAAGTGGCCTCTGCAAGGATTGAACTCACAACCCAAGGTTTAGCAGGCCAATGCTCAAACCACTAAGCTATCCCTCCCCAGGACTTTGACGCTGGTCAGGTGTCAAGGGTTCTGGACTAGAGAGGTTCAGCCTGTGGTATCAAATTAACTTGGGCTTTGTCTATATAAATGAGTTTTGTTAAATCAGTGCAATTTATGTCTGCTCACAAGGCCTAAACCAATCAGGTCATGCTTAGAGCTCAGGGCAGGAGGAAATGGTTTTTGTCCTTTGAAAAGTTTCCCACCCCAAAAATGGGATGAAAAATCAAAATCTCAACTTTTATATACCAAAAATGTTCAAAAAGTCAATTTGTCTCAGTTGAACCATTTCAGTTTCGTAATTTTGAATATTTTGTTTCAATTTTGACTTTTTAAAAAATCTTTTAACTCAAAATTTACTAACATTTAAAAATGAAAAGTTGTTTCAAATTGAAAAACTGAAAACTTCCCTCCAAAATATTTTGGCATCAGGAGAGTCATGAAAATTGACCCTGTTTGTGAACAGTTTTTGTTCTGACACTGACATTTTTCAGTACTCATCAAACAATCCCCAATCGACAGCAGTCATGGTAAAGAATCAGCTGCAGATTTCTTTTTATCCAAAGGAATACAGTAATGCAATCCAAATATCAGCACCTCACACTTTATCTAGCACCTCCCTCTGCAAAACATTTTACTAATATTAAGTCTCAGAGGGGTAGTGGTGTTAGACTGTAACTTTAAAAACAACAAGCAGTCCTATGGCATCTTAGAGACTAAAAATTTTATTAGACCATGAGCTTTTGTGTTGGAGTGGAAATTACAGAATCCAGGGTATTTATAACAGCAAAAGCAGTTTACCTGTCCTATAATTGATGGGTAAAATCTTCTGCTGTTATATATACCCTGAATTCGGTAATTTGCACTCCACTCATCTGATGAAGTGGGTCTTACCCATGAAAGCTCACGATCCAGTACATTTGTGTTAATTTGTAAGGTGCCTCAGGACTATTTCCTATTTCCATCTGATGAAGTGGGTTTCACCCACAAAAACTCATGACCTAATAAATGTGCAAGTCTCTAAGCCAATGCCACAGGCCTCCTGGTTGTTTTTACTACTATTAAGTAACGCCTCAGGTATGGAAAGACATTATTCAGAGTAAGAAGTTTACTAAAAGCAGCAACATCCTCAGTCTTATGGTTGGAGCAGGGACTGGAAGGACGAGATTCGGTTTGTCACTTAGAGATACTATTTGACCGTGGGCATGTTGTTTCTTTATGTTAGATCTCCCTGTTTAAAAACCAGAAATAGTGCTGTTTGGTTGGAGCTACCCCCAGGGGTCTTGTGAGAAGGAACATGCACAAGCTCTGGGATGAAAGATGATCAGTTTTAAGACACCTATGTAGCCAAAATCAGTAAGCGAGGCTCAGTTTTATATTCCATTCTATACATTAAATAGTCTACCAGGAATGACAAGTATTGATCAATGAAGTGCAACACTAATGAAAGCTCTCAGAGCTCAATACTCTGGTGGATGAATTTCAGTGCTGCTTATTTGTTCTCTGCATATTTGTTTACTAAGCAACAACATTTACTGCATAATATGGTGCGCAGCTCAGTCATTGTTACTTGGGGGGAAAGAAACTATTTGTACACTGGATCACCAGCGCAAGCCAATTACATCTATGAACTGAAAGTTCCCAGTACATGTCACAAGAAGAAATACTCCCGTTTGAAGCAGACGTGTAGGAGACCTCCCAGCTAATCAATAAGATGCAGTGAGGTCCTGGATTCCCTTTCCAACATGCAGAAGACCCAGCTACCCCACTGCAATCAGACGCAAGGTCTCCCATGGGACACTTACCATTTTCAGCATGTCTGCAGCAGGAGGGGAGACCTGGGAGCGGTAGTTGTTGTGCATCTCCACAATCAACCTCTTGTCATCCTCTGTAAGGGCCCAGCTCAGCTCCACAGCTGTGAGCAGCAGGAGAAGGGGAAGAAGCCCTGAGCTCAGCATTGTAGCGCTCAGTCTCTGGCTTTCACAGCCTGCGCCTCTGGCAGACACATTTAAAGCACTTCCCAAAACAAGGAACACCCAAAGCCTGAGACTAGGGGAGGAAATGTATCTCTATTACAATCCAATGTCAGAGCCACATGGAACACATCCATGTAGTGTCATTGATAAAAAAAGGAATGTTGCTTAAGGGGCCAAGAAGTGAGCCATGCTCACGCCCTGAGAGCTATCAGGTGCAGGTCTTAATTTTCCCCCATCCTAGGAGCTCCATTTTGGGGACTTACAACTGCTGTAATTTCAGATTTAAATGTGACTATTATCCTTGGAGCTGTTCTGTAATTACTCCTTCCACTTTCCTTCCAGGGGATCCCCACATATTTTCCAAACTGAAACAGAGACTACACACAGGGATCATTTTCCGTACCACTGAAATGCAGCCACTTCTGGGGCAACACATGGCAACTGTTTAACAGCAAGCTGCAACACTAGGCAACAATTCAGAATACAGTAATTGTAATTCTAGATCATCTCAGGGGTCCCAGCCTCTTGTCCAGGATTAGATCTCAAAGCAGCCAACACTTGAGGAATGTGCATAAGGTTGCCAGATGGTTTAACAAAAAATAGACCTCTCCCCCCCAAAAAAAACACACCTGGAAAAAATTCTGTTGAGAAAAAAAAAGGGGGGGAGACCCCAAAGTTGTTGAGCTTTAAAAAAAAAAAAAAAAGGCACTGCTCCTTTAAATGACCCCATGCTCACTCTCCCGCCCCCATCTGATGCGGCAGGGGCAAATTGTCCCCGCCAGGCTTCCGTCTGAGGGAAACAGGAAATACCGGACATTTCACATGTTCTGTATTTTCTAGCTTTTTTACCAGATGGGGGACCCGAATAACGGACAGTTCGGGCGAAAACCGGATACCGGGCAACTCTAAATGTGCAGTGAGCAATTATGAAATAACGTTCCTAGACAACATTTCTTCCTGACCTTCATCAGTTAACCCTGTGCCCTTAAGCAAGAGAGCTTATAGTCCTTCCCTGGGGTTATATAGGAAGTGAAAAACACCTTATGAAACTGCCTATGAAGGAGGGTTAAAGAAGAGTAGAAGAAGCGCTGTGTGTGTCTATAAATTTGACAGGTTTTCTTGTCCCATATCATGGGGAAGAGAGGGGGACAGACAGCTCAGTGGTTGGAGCATTGGCCCGCTAAACCCAGCATTGTGAGCTCCTTGAGGAAGCCATTTAGGGATCTGTTGCAAATCTGTCAGAAATGGTACTTGGTCCTGCCATAAGGGCAGGGGACTGGACTCAATGACCTCTAAAGGACCCTTCCAGATCTAGGAGATAAGTATATCACCATATATACGGCACTGGGCCAATCAGAACTCAGTATTATACTTCATGGACCCACCTTTTGCCCACCCCCTTTTTGGCCATATAGTTTTGCAAGTCGCTCCTACCCTTTCTGTCCTTCCCAGGACCTCTTGGGATCATTTTTGGAAAAGTCCATGTCTGGTGCTGTCAGCCTTGCTGAGAAGAACAGGGTGTTTTCTGAAAGACGTAGGACGTTTTCCCTTCTGGAAACAGGATAAAGAAAGAAGTTGTCCCTTTTAAAATAAGGAAAGGCCTATTTGCCTTTTATACAATGAGTGCTATTAAACAAATACAGATGACAAAACAACTGCACAAAGTTTTAATGAGAGGAATTAAAGAATTGTTAATATATAGCTGTACCCCCCCGCCCACCACCTCCCCCTTTTCTAACTTGAACACAAAAATGCCAATCATGCTCTGGGACTTTTAGGGATGTTAGGAAGAGAAAACAAGTAGAAAGGAATTAAGGAGGTTGCTTGGACCTCTCCCCCATCCCCTTCTGTCTTAGCACATTGCCAAGGGGGGAAGCCTGAATCCACCGGCCAAGCAGCAGGGTGCTCTGACTGCCCCTCGTGGACTCTCCTGGTGCAATCCAAGTGCTGGAGCTCGTGGCATGGGCAGGACATCCAGCAGCGCCCCAAGGCATTAGCAATTGACATGGCATCTGCTAGCAACAATGAATTTTTTAGCAGAGACAGCTGCAGCTGTTGGCAATCGTTAGACTGATCGAGGGCGGGTCTCAGCTCTAGGATCCCACCCATGGTTCTTTTTGGAATCAACATCGGCAGCAAAACAAGCATCAAACTTCCACCCGTCTGCTAACAAGTTTGTCTCCTGCAGGCCCGATTAAATAAGTGTGTGAGGAATGCGGGTTTCTTGTAGTCAGATAACTCAATACAGAAACGTACGGTACAACTGCCAAACCTGATCGATTGTTAGGAACAAATAATTGTTACGTAACATATGGACCACCTAGCACACGATGGGGCTTGTGGGTCTCGTCTGACTTCAGTGGGATGTGGATCAGGCCAAATGGCTATGGTTTCCATGAGAAAATAAGGGCATTAGGTACCCCAATCCCACTGAAAATCAACAGGAGTAGCCATCTTGGGCCTTACATACCAGCTTCTGGCTAACACTTTCAAAAGCACTTAAGCAAAATCTGGTTTTCAAAAAACCAGATATGGCTATGTTGGTTGAGTTGTTGCTGATACAGATATACCAGTAACAGCCCTAGGGTGCATAGCTATACTAGTGTCATGGTGCCTTATACTGGTGGAGCTTATTTGGATTTTCAAACAGAAATACGATAGAGTATAATCTGTTTTCTACCCAAAACACATCTGCGCTATGGGTGGGTTTGCCACTAACTACAGCAGTACAGGTAAAGCAGCAGAGCTGTAAGTGCTTGCAAGACTTTAGGAAAGGATCAGTTTTGCAATTGAGATTTAAGCTCAAATTACTTACGCAGTTTCGAAAATGTTACCCTTGTGGAAAGACAAAATATTACCAGACCGTCAGATATTTAATGCTGTAGGTTGTCTGTCATCAAGCTACGCAGCATATGCAGATCTCTGCCCCACCCTCAGCCACCAT